TCAGCTTTCGTGCGACCTCACTTAGAGTACTGTATCCAGGCTAGTCCACCTTGTCTTGTAAAGGACAAAATGGAATTGGAGAGGGTTTTGCGAGTGGGTACGAGGTTAGTGCAAGGATTACGGGGGCAAACGTATCCCGAACGTTTGCTTAGCTTGTGTATGTACTCAATGCACTACAGCAGAATTAGAGAAGACTTGATCCTCACTTACCGTAGCTTAACGGGTAAGATCGGTCCAGATTTGTCCTGGTTATTTAGTCCCGCCAAGCTGCCTAATCTCCGAGGTCACCCGTTGAAGCTGCACGAACTGCGTTCTGACCGGGTAAGGACGGAAACTCGCTTGTCGCGCCGAGTTATGAAACGTTGGAACTCGCTTCCGGAGCACATCGTTAGGGAATCTACGTTTGAATGTTGCGAGCGTCAGTTAGATGCTCTTGGGTGGCAGTACCAAACCTTCCCCTTCTCTTAACCGACTTGTATCTTCAACTTTCCGTACGTATTTTAAATTTCTTCTCACACCTTGGTATTATCATTATTTAGCTGACCTTTCTCCTCTTGTTTTCTTAGCTTACCATTCACTCTTTTACTTCACATAAACCGGCCTGGCAGGGACTGCTAGGCAAGAAAATGTGGGCAGTAATTGGTTAGACAGGGTGTGATGCGGTCTTTGTTTTAGGCTTTTCAACGTCACAAGCAGACCTATCAATTCCCTAGCCGACGATACGCAAAAGAAGGAACATTCACGGGATTATCCTATCGTTCCGGTCCCAACTGAACTTGAACTTGAAGACGGGGTTTGCTCTAACTAGACTGTTCCATCCTGCTCAGACACCATTTCTTTCTGGTCACCCTCTGAAGCTGCATAAACCCAGATCTGTTCGCGTTAGAGTTGACTTTCGTTTATCGGGCAGGGTCATCGACTGGTGGGACGCACCACCCAGCGATGTAGTACTAGCACAAACGATGAAGGAGTTTGAACATCGACTCGACGCACTTGAGTTGCAGTTTCAGACATTTCCGTTTCGTTCTTAACTTCTACCTCCATGTTCTTAGCTTCTCACATATATCACTATTATTGTCTTATCCACATCTTCTCTCCTATACTACAGTTATCATTAATCTGTTTTTTTTATTCCCTTCTCTTAGCCTTTATTCTTATTCATGTGGCCTGTACAGCGGGGATTGCTAGTGCAAGCCGCGTGGGCATTGATTAATTGACCGTGATATGATTCGTGTGTATTGGCTCTTCTCTGTTTCAAATCGCTCCCGCGAGCTCCATCCTCGTTAAACAATGCATTGAAGAAGGAATACACATGGGACTTTTCCTACCGTTCCTGTCCAAATTGAACTTAAACTAGAACTTGTGTAAAAAAGGGAGGTGTTTCAACTGGTGTAGCGATTGTAAATAATTTGCTTATTTTTTATTTTCACGCTTACCTATTTCGCTGCAGTGGTTGTACAGGTTTGTTTTAACTAACCATATATACATAAGCTTGGTTTCGAGCTCGTCTTCCGTGGTTCTCTCTTGGTTGCCACTGGATTGTTGTGATTGTGCACATCTCTGCCTGCTCTATTCACGATCGGACTCTACGTACACGCACACTTCGGCATACCTCGCGATTTACGCTCGTCCGACGCTAAGACGCATTAGAATATTTTATATGTGAGGTAAATCTGACTGACTAGGTATTCTCCTTTACCGGTTCCTCCATACTGGCAACCGTTGAGTCCGCAAGGGTATCGGGATCTGCAATTTGCAGATGTGTGGTTAGCTTTGGGGCACAATTCGCATAAAATTTTCCCAGAAACAAGGAGTAAGCGCTCAGTACTGTCCGTAGTTTGGAATCGGGGACATTGATCGAGGTAATGATATCCTGTGTACGTTACACACGATGGTGCGAGTCTCTGGGTCTGCGGTACTATTCCGCCAGTTACAAAAGTGGTTATATGATTACCACGATTTAGAAGTCTTTCTGCCGTACATGACCCTTCAGGTCTTCTAGCGTTTTCACTCAAGTACATGGTCTATGTTATCGCGGTTTCTGCGACATCACAGACAAATTGGTACAGGTCACTGAAGGCTGGTTCTCCGTAAGTGCGCAGGATGCTGGTAGCTTTCTTGGACCAATCGAGCTGCAGAGCATAGACCAAGCGTCTGATCACCGAAAACACCGTCACAGTAGCATTCAGTTCGGTCTCGCAGTTCAACCGTTGTAACGTGGTCAAGCAAGTTTTCATCTGTCCAGCCAATTTACGCAGCGGTTCAGAATTGTTCGCCTTGATTGATGGTCCTTTGGCTAAGTTGTCTATGTAAACCCGGGCTATATGATGAGGACGGCCGAATCTAGCTTTTATCGTCTCCATGGCATCACAGAAATTTTCTTCTCGTTCCAATATGACTCAACTCTTGATCAGATTCAGATTCAGATGGACTGGAACGATAGAAAAAACCCTTGAGTGTTCCTTCCTGAGCAAATCGTTGAGCCAGGAAATGATAAGGTGCTAGATCGTGATAGATCTAAAACGAAACACCCGAAACACACCCTGGTCAACCAATTACTGCCCACGTTCCCTGCACTAGCGGTCCCCGCTGTGTATATTACGTGAAGTAAAAAAAGTATAAAGTAAATGGAAGATAAAGGGGCTGAAAGTCATTTAAATGAAGGATAACACCAAAGAGTGAAGAGAATGACAGAATAAGAACTAAAAGTTTGAAGATGAATATGGTCAGGAGAAGGGAAAGGTTTCGTGTTGTCACCTATACGGTTCACTGCCGTGTATACTAGTGCATGCCATTGACGACCTTTTGTGCCCCCCTGGATTATTGTACACTACAGTTCCCTGTGGTTGAACTGATCAGTGGATCTTCAGTTATCCGTGTGTCCGTCTCTGCTCTCTCGCAAAGATCCTTTTGTTATATCCTTGGAGTCCACTTCGGCTTTGTGATTTGGTGAGTCCATTTCAATACACTCGTGTCACACCTAGGCTTTCCGACTGGTGCTCCCGTCGCTTGCATAGGTTGTCACCGTAACCCGGTTCACATCTTTGCTTCTTATCTATTATATTCAATTCTTTCTCTGAACCCTCTCCGTCACAATGGTTGTCAAGCGCTGCCTAAACTCGCCGTGTCCGCATTCTTACTACTCTGTGGTCATGTGTGGTAAAGAGGGTTGTCTAGAAGCGGTTACAGATTCGTCCGGGGGCATGCAGTGCGATATCTACAACTGTTGGTTCCATAAGGCCTGTACTAGCTTGGATCGTAGACAGTATGCTCTTCTGTCCAGTAACGAGTGTTTACTCTACCGTTGTAATGACTGTTGCACGCGCAGAACTGAGCGTTACACGCCAGTAAAGAGCAGTCCTGTTTCCCTGGAAAGTTTGCTGTCTCTGATTGCCTCGCTAGACCGGAAAGTTGAATGGATTGTGAAGGGCCTAGGACGCTCAGGTCTTCTCTGTCAGGAGACAGTAGAAGACACTGCAAGTCGTCAGATCCTGCATCTGTTTGTTCACTGTCGAATGTCGGTTGACCTGTTAGTAACGACCCTGTTAGTAAGGAACCCTCAGATAGCGTGTTTGATTCGGCTGTTAGCGAAGGAGAGCAGCAGGCTTCTGCTCTTGTCAAAAGAAGGTGAAAGAGGGTTAAAAAGCGGCAAAACCCAAGGCAGACATGAGAGGTCCGTCGGGTGCCCATTCCCTCTCCTCAAATTCTACTACTATGGAATCGTTACAGCTGGAAACATCTACGACATTAGAGTCTATAAAAACGGACACTAAACTGAAATCACCGACGTCCATGGAGCGTTCGGTAAATACTCCGCGTCGTGCAGACTCGTATACCGACTGCAGTGTTATTTTCAGAAACGCCACTGAGTCTTCTGCTGTTCTCCCAAAAGACCGTATGCTAGATGACCTTAAGTGGTTTAGAATATGCATTACCAAACTCCTGCCTCCCGGCGTGACTGTGCGGAAACTGACCAGACTCGGTAACTTGCCAGCTGACAAGTCTCGCCTTCGCTTGTTGCGAGTTGTTCTGTCCACTCCGGAGGAGCGCCAAGCACTTCTGCGTTTCTCCTTTAAGCTCAGGGGCACTAATGTCATCGTGCACCCAGACCTTCCTTTGGCGGATAGGCTGAAATTGCGGGAAGCTGTGAAGAATCTTAAAGCCCGCCGTGATGCAGGAGAAAAGGGTCTCCGCTTGGTGGGTTTTCGGGTGGTGAGCCGACGGTCCACTTCCGCCCTACCAGAGCCGGTTGTGGTGGCGCACGATCCCGGACTCACAATGTTAAATCCCTTCAGGTGATCTTAAGCAATGTGCGTAGCCTGCGAAACAAGCTGAGCGAAGTCGGCGCCCTTGTCGAAGACTGCCGCCCAGATGTTCTCGCATTCACTGAGACGTGGTTGTCCACTGACGTCACGGACAGTGAAGTGTGCTTGCCAGGCTACGCACTGCTGAGATGTGACCGCACCTCTGATCGGCGCGGAGGTGGCGTTGCTTTGTACGTAAACTCCGCACTTACTGTCTTTAAGACGTATAGTTCCAGATCACCAGAGGGTGATGTCGAGGCACTCGCAGTTAACCTGTGTATTGCCTCCGCGCAACTTAAAGTTGTGCTGGTCTATAGAAGCCCCGACAGAGTTGCTAAGGGGCTTGTTGATTACATCCGCGAGTATTCGGCAATAAGTGTTTAGTGCGGGGGAACTTCCCGACGTTGACTGGCAGAACTTTTCCTGCGACGCTGTTAGAAGATTTTTGGCTACCGAGC